GGAGGCGGCGCAGGAGTAGGAGGAGCAGGAGCAGGAGGGGAAGAGGGGGCGCGCGGGCGAAGCGCCGCTGGGAGCCGGGGGCAGCCTGGAAGGAAGGGCGCATCCGGCGAGCGCAGCACTAGGGGTCGCCAGGAGGAGAGGGCGCGGGCCGCCACCTCCCCCCCGCACCCACCCAATCTGCGTGCAGGGTCAGCCCGGAGGGGTCGGGTTGCTCCGTCCAGGCACAAAGCGAGCATCGTGAGCCTCTACTATGTGCTGGTCCCCAGCTAAGCGCTTTATAAGCACGATCCCAAGTTAACCGCTCAACAACCCGACAGTTAGAAAAATCACTGTTGTCCGTTTTCGAGTCAGGTAGACTGAGGTTCAGGGGTAAAGGAGCCGTTCGGTCAGTAGGTGGTCTGTCGTGGCTCCGAAAGGAGCCCCCTCAGTCCCCATGGGCTTTCTTTGCCTACTCGGGCTGAGACCCGAGCAGCGCTGTGTCCGCCAGTTCTGCAACAGAAGCTTTTCTTCTCAGTGAAATGTTTAATGAGCAGGAGTCTAGACCCTTTTGGACTCAATCTGACCTCTTCATTCTACCGGGGAAACTGAGTTTCAAAGGGGGCGTGGTTTGCTCAAAACCCCTCTGTGTGAGCAGTTGTGCGTGGGCTGCGGGATTCCCCCGAAATTGAGCCAAGTGGCCTGAGTCTGATAAAAAGGCGGTTCGCATCCGGGTCCTTGAGGCCCTGGCGGCGGGAGCTGGGAACCCCAGTCCAGGGACAGGTATGCTAAGGACGGGGAAGCGATGGGGGCACCCCGAGTCTCGTGGGGCAAGCGTGGACTCTCAGAGGGCGCTCCCTAAGGGAAACGCTGGTTACCCGCGCAGTGCAGGCCTCCGCGCCCTGCGCGCCAGGCTACGGGAAAATCTTTGGCCACATCCTGCCATCTGCTGGGCACCTTAAGCCACTGGCAGTGCTTTGAAATTGGTGTTCCTTTCTATGTCCCCATCGTGTCTGCCCCACCCCTAAATCCCCCCCCCCACCCGGGGGGGGGGTCAGGGTTGATGGGAGGGATGTCTCTGTCTAACACAGCAAGAAAGCTCCCAGAGACAGCTGGAAGAAGTTGAGAAGATGGAGCCAGCCCCATCCAGCTGAATTTTCAAACTGCTAGGCCTCAGTTTGAGTCCTATCAGACAAGCCTCATTAACAGAACTGGTTCTACCACTTACAGGCTACTTGTTTCCCAACCCCGGAGTTCTCATCTGTTGAATGGGGAGGTTGATATTGTAACAGAAAAGAACAAATCTGACTCCATATTAGATCTGTTCCTTTGGCTTTAACCCTGTGCCCTGTTTTCTAGGCTTCGCCTTGCTGGTTCTGCACCTTTTGTACAAGAATGTTACCTTTAGCCTGAAATATACAGGAGAGCCCCTTCTCAAGGCTCTGACCTTTAAAGTTATTAACACCTTTGCACTTATATAAAGATAATAAGTTGCAGAATAGAAAATAACATTTGTTTTGATAGAGGTTTTACAGGGGCAGCATGACCTGACCGACATGGACAGCTGCAAGAACAAAGGATTCTAAAAGCAAAGAATTCCTACACCAAGAAGTTTGCACCAACCAACCACACCCCTTCCCCTTTTTAGTATAAAAGGACTTGGGGAAGATGGTTCTCCAAGACATTAGTCTGCCATTTTCTCCGTCTGCCAGCTTTACGAATAAAGTCACTATTCCTTGCCCCAGCCCCTCGTCTCCTGATTTATTGGCCTGTTGTGCGGCGAGCAGAACAAGTTTGGACTAAGTAACAATATTAACTCCTCAGCATTGCTATAAGGATTATATCAAATAGTATTTATGAAAGCGGGCAACAGTGCCTGGCAGGGAACAAATGATCAATAAATACTCCTTGCTTTCCAGTCTGCACACAGCATTGACTGGGTGGCCAGTCTGCAGCAGGCAAGGTACTGAACCAAGATAAAGGAGACACAGCCCCTAGATCAAGAGGCAGGAGAAGGGATGGTGAGAGCTGTGAGTGCTAGGCCCTATTCTGCCCAGATTTCATACCACTTTGCCACTCCCTGGCAAGCTTAACCTCTGTTGGCCTCAGTTTGTCCACCTGTAAAATGGGGATAATAATAGTATTTCTCCCTCTTGGGTCGTTATGAGAAACAAACCAGTTGATGTTGGTGCCTGGAACATAATAAGCACAACACAGCTGTTATTTATCATCCTGAGTAATGAGCTATGGTGTAAATTGTACTATTTGCTCACAATTCTTCCTTCTCCCCCTGTCCTCAACATGGCTCACTGAGATGAGGGGGCATCTCCTACTTTCCCACGATCAATGTGGAACTTGCCATAAGTTTTACTTTGGCCAATGGTCCATGGGAGGACATGATGTACAATGTGCCACGTGACAGCCTTAAGATGACACGTGTTTCAGCTCTCTCGTCCTTTTGCTGTCTACCATGAGAAGAGCTGGCCCTCAGTAGCCTCTGCTCCTAGAGTGAGAGACCCAAGGAGTACACCTAAACCCCACCTGTATCCCTAAGTAGAGCTACAAGTTCATAAGCAAGAAAAATATGGGTTCTTGTAAGCCACTGAGATTTGGGGGTGGGGGTGGATTGTTTCACAGCATCATCACAGAAAGAGCTGATGAATACATATATTAAATTACCAGTCATGCATGCAAAGACTATGAGTGTGATTTGTACTGTGTAGAAGGGATCCCAGTAGGCTATGGGAACACAGGAGGCACTTGCCCCAGTCCTGAGTCAGGAACAGCACAGGGTACCCCAGAAAGCAGTCACAAGCATTTTTTCCTTCCCTTCCTCCTTTCGCAAACAACCATTTCCTGAATACTTATGGTGGACCAGGCTCTGAGCTGGGTGCTGGAGATGGACGCAACTATGAGTAAGTCACAGTCAACTTTCACAAAGTTGAAGTTCAGAAGGCTATATTCACAGAGTGGGTCACACTTTGATTGGGGGTGGGAGGGTAAGCACAGGTATGAGGGCAGGGAAGGCCCGTGAACTGTTACCAAGTCCAAGATGGTATTGCTCGCTGCACAACAGGCCAATAAGTTGAAAGATGAGTTGTTGGGGCAAGGAATAAGGACTTTATTGGGAAAGCCAGCCAACCCAGAAGATGGTGGACTAGTGTCCCAAAGAACCATCTTCTCCAAGTTAGGATTCAGCTTCTTTTATATTAAAAGGGGAGGGGGTGTGACTGGTTGCTGCAAACTTCTTGGTGCCAGAACCCTTTGCTTTTGCCGCTGTCTAGTAGGTCGGGTCATGTTCCTATAACCTCCAGCAGGGCAAGCGTTATTCTCTGCCCCGCAACTTTTTCTGTCTATATGAATGGGAAAGTGCAATACCTTTAAAGGTCGGAGCCTTGAGAATGGGCTGTCCTGTATATTCCCAGTTCTAGGCAACATTCTTAACTTGCAGCAAAAGCAACAGAATACAAAGGTAAGTGTAAAGGAAATAGATTCAATATGGAGTCAGATTTGTTCTTCCCTATTATAGAACCACGCTCAAAGAAATGCTCTGGAGAGAGATGGTGCATGAGCTGAGACTGGAAGGGCGAGGAGGAATAAGCCAGGGACAACTGTGCAAAGTCCCAAGGAGGAGAGAAAAGGGCACCTGCGGAAGCTGGGGCTGCTGCAGGTCTTTGGAGCGCAGTGACCCAGTACAGGGGTCGGAACGTGCGCGTGCGTAGGTGGGCACTCTGTGTGCCAGGCTCTGGGCCAGCACTTTTGCAAGAGGCAGGACCCTCCAGGCAACCCCTTCCCTCATCCTTTCCCCATTTACAGATACTGCGTTTGGCCTGTTATTTCAAGTGCTTTTCATGGATCAAGCCTCACAAGCAACCTGGCTGGTGGGCATGACCATCACCCCTGTACTAAGGGAGACAAAAGCATAGGATGGCTAAGCCAAGGCCAAATGTTTGCAAAGGGGTGAAGATTTAAATCCACAAATTAAACATATGTATTAGATCTGTAAGAAAGGACATAGGGAACAGTGGCTATTTCTGGCATTGTGCAATTCAGATCATTTTTACTTTATTTTTAAAGTATTTTTGTATTATTCCACATATTATTTTAGTACTCAGTAAAAACAATGATAAATATCTTCATTTGGAAAAAAAATCTGTGGACGCTGAACCACACCTGATTCTGTAAGGT